AAAGGGTGTAATCACCCCTGAAACTTGTGGTTTCTCATAGCAGCTCGTTTTGTTTGGGGCTCACAAATGGAGAGGTTCTGTGAAAATGTCCACATGGTTCATTTGGGAGGGACATTGGGGACTCTCTAATTGTTCAAGAAGCGGGTGCGCTCTCTGCTTTGCTCACTTCCAGTGGGGGCAGAGTCAATCTTGAGCATGGCTGGAACTCGCAAGAAATGTGCTTGATTTTCTCCAGTTGTTCTTAGGGGGTTCTAAAAGTGAAAGTGTTCTCCAGAAAGTGTCCGCATGAGGGGATTCTGAGAGCGGATCCGAAAACGGACAGCCCAAGCGGCCCCCTCTCAGATCGGCGTTGCGCCTCCGAACGTCTCGGGATTATTTCGGGAGGTGCGGGCGCTGGCCGATCGGGCTCACCGGGAGCGAGGCGGGCGCGGGCCGAAGGCCGAAGGCCGAAGGCCGAAGGCCGAAGGCCAAAGGCCGACGAGTCGGGGTTCGAAGACGACCATGGTCCCCCAGTAGTGCCCTTTTACCGTTTCTTTTTTGGGGGAGGGTTCCCCTGCTAAAATAGACTACAGAACAAAGGGTACCCTCATTCTAACCTCTCTACTGGAGGACCTAGTTTAGGTCTTAGGGTTGGTGCCCTCTTTTGGGTTGGGAGACCAAAAGGAAAACTGTTGCGCCATGTTGGGGATGTCCCCCAAAGAAAGGAGACGCCCATGTCCTCCTTGGCTGGCTTGACATGCTTGGCAGCTAAATACGGAGCCCTGAAACACACCCTAGGACGCCTGCAAGTATGTATTAGATTCATGAGCTGCAAGCATACAAAATGGTCTGTCTGCTTCCCAACATGGCCATAAGCTTCTCGGGAGGGCTGTTCAGAACTGCATCGTACCACTTGGGCTGTCCCTGAAACCACAGTGGATGATCATGTTACACCTGCCGCGGAACGCAACTTGCAAAAAAAAGGGTGACTAGCGATCGTGATTGGCACAATCCAGCACTTTGATTGGTCTATATATATATATATATGTATATCATAATTTGATAGACTGTAAACATGCAAAGGGGGTTTGGAACCGCCAACTCAGCAAAAACAGGAGGGGACAATGCTGCAATATTTCCCTTTGACAAAACGTTGAGGTGACGGGCCTTCCTCGTGTTTAACCTAACAGCATCACCATAGCGCTGAAAGGAACGCATCTGAACTGGCTGGCGCATGGAACAAAGCCTCAACCATTTTTGGTTGCCACAGAGAACTGTTGTGAACGGCGAGCTTTCAAGCTCCTTTTAGTGGGTGAGGTGAGAGACGCGGGACGGACACCGTCGGACACCCATTTTTGAAAATACAGCCCAGTATACCCCGTATGGATTTAGTTGCATCCATTTTCCCTTGGGCAAAAAAAAAGGGTTGTTTTCTGCATGCTGTAGATGCCTCTTGGCAGGCTCCACCGAGGCATGATCGGGAGCCCGATGCGGCCGGAGTCGACAGAGCCCCGCAAAAAGAGCGGCGGAAGCAGAGCACAAGCCTCATTTCGGTTACCTCCTCTCTATCTGTAGATGTAGTTGAATATACACATACCGTTTTTTCTTAGAATGAACCATGTGTGGAGCGGTATGTTTTTGGAGAAAGCATGTTTGTAATCCCTCCCCATTGACTGATCGATATCAGCAAGCACCTCCCATGAGACCACGGCAGTTGCATTTGGAGAAACGAATCTTGAAGTCAGGAATGGTTCTTTGCTCCGTCGCAGACTTCCACAGGATCCCCATAAAAGTGTTGTGCCAAAGTCTTGGGCATGGAATGCAGGGACCGGGATCTTTGGCCACCCAGCTGGAGGGTTTCAGTGATGAAGGCCGCATAATTCCGGGTGAGAGCATAGACAAACAATCACTTCCGGACAAATGGGAACACCTTTTGTTTTTTTGGGGTAGGACAAACAGGGCAGCGCGCCAAAGGGAGACTTCTGTTCGGGCTTGATCACCAATTTCTCAAAAGGGCGCGTGAAGGGAATGAGGGGAAGCAACTTGCAGTAGATGGTTAGATTGGTTCAGTATTTCCGTGGCTGATCCACCAAATGGGAAGCTCACCCACAACCTCCCAAGCCAAACCACTATTCAGCAGTATCCTATCATCCGATGTTTGAATGTGCCAAGACAGTGTGGCAGTCGTCTGCCATGCCGTGTACATTAAACTGCCTCAATGCCCAAGGCTGTGGCTGTCTGACCAGCGCAAAGCTTTGGGCCTCGGTTGCTCCTTTTGACCGAAGTAGATATATTATTGTCAGAATAGGGTGGCCCCCAAATTGGGCGGTTGTTCCTGTTGCTTTCCCTTTCAATCACCCCCAAAATTGCATTCTCACTTTTTCGCAGAGAGTCAAGGAGCAACCCTTTGCGACTAGCCCAATGGCGACGCAAAAGGAGGTCAGCTGCTTGTAGCCTGACAACATTGCTCCGAGCCCCAAGCATCTCTGATCTGTTTATTTGATGAACGATCTTGCCCTGTGGCAGTCAACCCAAACAACCGAGAGGTGGAACTACCAAGTTTAAGCAGCAGCCCTATGTTGTCCGGATATTGGCAGTCTCGTTGGTGTAATGTAAGTGAGACACTATGCCCCAGAAGAGCAGCATATGCCATAGGCGTTGCACCAATCTCAAAAGCGCTAGCATGTGGAAGGTTGCCAGGGATAGTCATCCAGGCTTTGACAGAGATTTGAGGCAAGCAGGGTTCCTATGACGATGAACACATTCCTTCACGCATGCAGATTGTGCGTGGCTTCTGAAACAGGGGACCCGACAAAGGCTGGAGGTTGGGGGGGGAGCGGTTCCTTCTGCTTCCTTTTGAATATGCAAACATGCAACTCTAAAAATAGAAAACACTCATTTTATGTTAGATCGCGTTATCGCTTTTACGCGGTGATTGGCTTGTTTTCATGGCACGATGATATTGGGTTTTGGACGCGCACTGTTCAGTTCTGCGTTGCTCTATGACTAGGGGAGCAAACTTTTCGTGGGAAGCATGCCTTTGCAGGAAGCCGATTCAGAGGATACCTTGTGAACTCCTACGAAGGCTCAAAGCGGTGAAGGTTGATGTCTCTGTTCGTTTGGCCAATGTCCTTGGATCAACCCCTTCAAGTGCACCTCTGGCGGGACTGCTCCCCAGTGGACCTAAGTAAAAGCCGCGGCCCCGATTTCAACACGCTTGAACACCGTGTGTCATGTTCTTGTTTTGTTTTTTTCTTAGGAGCTTGGAACTTCTATTCTCCCCCCTTGTCCGGAACTGGCAGTGTCCCCTGTTGGCCGTCTCCTAGAACCGTCTCAAGCGGCTTCCAGGTGCACCAGTGGAGCTCCACCAGCGCCGCGCCGCTCTGGGACTCGCCGGGAGCCCCGGGAACCGCGCTCTCGGACATCCGAGGCTTGGGCGTTTCTCAAAATGGGCTCCTTTTTTGGGCTACCCCGGTTCTCCCCCCAGTGCTGGGTGGTTTTCAGAGGAAAACCAAGAGGAAATCCGCCACTTTGGGGACCCACATGGACCCACTAAAGCAAGACACCCAGAACTGCCCGTAACAGAGTAACAAAGGAATTGGCCCCAAAGGGGTCCATGTTGGCAAACCCACGTTGTGACGTTTCCGGCAAACTCTACAAAGCAGTGCCAGTCAGAGAGAGTGTTCGTTTGGTGCCGAGGTCTTGGGTAGTTTTTGTGATCATGCTTTATTTGGGACCCTTCTGCTGATTTGGAGGAACCTCTCGTGATTTGTGGCTGATGCTGGGTTGTTGTTTGTCATGCAGCCCGGTCAGCCACTTGGGTTCCCCTCATCAGGTTCCAATTGCCCAAAGCCGACCTCTTCGCTTTTTGGTTTCCAAATATGTCCATATTTAGTCAAGGCTCCAAAAGGCTCGACATTTTCTTCCATTTCCTTTGGTTGCAGGTGCGCTTCTTTGCGCATTTCGCAGCCAAACAGGGGAGACTCAGGGGGGTCAGTTGACTTGTGAGATGCAGCATTTGGCATAGAGGCTGGCATGTTGGGTCTTTCCCATTAAATGGGAATGGCTAATGGCTATAAATGGTAAAGGGCGCCCCTTAAGTTGGCGATTGTCCAAAGCAGGACCCGTTCCGGTTGCTTTTGGGTTTTCTTCTGGGCTGCGCTTTTGATTTACTGTCCCACTGGGAGGCCCAAGCAGTCGCGTCTGGCTTACCATGACCAAATCATTTGGGCACTTGGGCTTACCATGACCCATTGGCTTTGTGACCCACACGGTTCCGAGCCAGGGGAACCATGTGGCAGAGGCGAAGTCAAATCTGTCAGAGACCCGAGACCCGAGGTCCTGGGAGGGCAAGCTGAAGCCAGAAGCTGAGTTGCAACGAGTTCACCTGTGGGTTTCTCGATGTGAACATGGACCTGTTCCATCCACTTCACAAGGCGGATTTTTGATCAGCAGGTGTTGTGTGTTTGGGGGGACCCCAACCTAAATATTGGACAAGGCGGATTTGTCCGGGCTTAACATTAATTACTAGTTCGGGGAAAAGGGCTGAACCACACCGGACAACCGCCCGAATGCGACTCCTTTGTTTTGGGCACACTGTTTTCTCAATGGGTTTTGAGCATGCCTCAAGATGTTGTTGTTGCTTGTGTGAAAGCAAACCCATTGGATTATTTCAAGTGTCGGAACAAAACAACAAACGTGGTGATGCCCCAAGTTTTCCAAGCCCCACATGTTTGGGTGACACGAGCACAGGTGCCCTACCAAGCAGCATGGAGTGGCGCGCTTTTCCCACACGGCAAGTCGTCTCCCAAAAGGGGTTTGTGCACCTAGCCAGGTTTGTTGAAGGGCAATGGTTTCAAGTAGGCCTGACCGGTTCTGAATGTGCCTTAACATTCCTTAAACATGTTCCCCCTTCCACTCCACTTCTTTGTTGCTTCATCTTTGCAAGTTTCCTGTGGCTTCACCTCACCAGGAAGCTGCTTACCCCCCGGAACAGTTGTGGTGAAAGCTGGTCAGGCCCGAGCGGAGCGACACCTCGGCCATTGAGCCGCACACGGAGGCGCACCATTTTGTGGCGCCTCAAGCCCTCTGTGGGTTCTGCTTTGCCAAATGTTAAACCCCCCAAACCAGGGATGGTGGTTTTCCGGCTTAGGCCCCAAACCAAGGGTTTGGAACCGGTGTGCTCTTAAACCCGGAATAGGGTGTTCAGGCCTGAAGGCCGATCTTCCCAGGCGCATTGCGCCATGGAAGCCACCAGAGGGTGCTTTTAGATGAACAGGGGGTGTTGCAGGACCCCCGTGGGCGTGGTTCCCTTTTTGCCCGGTTAGAAGGAATCGTTTTTTCAAGCCACCCCAAAGGCACTTCAGGTATTATGTGCACTTTAATTGTTGACCTGGCGTGAGAGCTGGCAATACCACGTGTTTTTCACAGTCACATCCGCATTGCATCTTTCTGAAATAGCTTGGGAAGCTGCCTCTTTTGCGCAGGGAGACACCGACGTTCTTCAGGTGTTTGCATGTCGACACTGGATTCAACCCCCCCTCCCCGAAACGCTTCCTTCCAGGAGCTTGGCGACCTTAGGGGAAGCCAAAGGAGAGGACTGGCGAGCCTGCCGTTTTTCGGGGGTTTGAAAGAAAAGTGTTTGTTCAGGTGTCATATCTCATTTGACACGCCCGCTCTTGAGCTCAGCTGTGCAAAGCGCACAGGTGGTGTCGCCAGACGCTTTGAAGGCCCGTCGCCTGATGCTGCTTTGTGCGTGAAAACTGGACCCGCGAAGCTCTGGCGGAACTCGGAATCAATGCTTCATCCTTCCCGGTGGCTTGTTTCCCGCAGGGGTTAGGGATCCCCCCCCTTTCTGAACAAGTGCCTTAAGTCAAATGTAGCCGAGGCTGGGACGGGCTCTGGATTCTCCTGCAAAAGAATCACCGAAACTGACACCCGACAGCAGATGCGCCATTATTGTTCACCCCAATCCCGTTTCTGTAGGTAAACCACCGCTTTTGCAGCAGATGGGCATGGCCTGAGTCTTTGGAATCACTCGCACATCCACGAGTTCCTGGACGTAGGCCTTGGACAATTCAGATCCCTTTCTCTTGCCTCCATGAGCCACCCATGTGGGACCCTGTGGGGGCAGTAGAGGACATCATGTTGACGCTATGAAGTCCTATTTGGGGCTACCTCTGTTTCCTCCCAAAACCGACGGCCCGTGCTAAGTTGACGAAAACTCAAAGGAGCGACACATTCGCTTTCGCGGTCCTTGCTAGGTCCAAAGGGAAGAAGAGGAAGCCACCGATTTTTGCTTTTGAGTTCAGCCGAACAGCTTCAGAGACATTCGGGCGAACCCCTCCCACTTTGGCAGTGGGGCGTTCTCTCGCAGGGCCGGCGCCTGGCGCTTAGTGGAGAGCTCCAGCGTGCCACTGTGAGGAGGCCACGGGTTGGAGCAAGTTGCGGAGTTTCCGAACAGAGCTCGCTTGCTTGCATGGTTGGACGCATGGCTGCTTGGATGGTTGGTTGCTTGCTCGTCCGGCGCTACAGTGTCACGTGCAGGTCCTTCCCCGTCGAGGCCGGGGCCGGCCGGGGGGGCCAAGGCGCTTCCCCAAAATCTGCCTATTTTATGGCGAGCTCACCTGGGAATAGCACGAGCTCATCATGATATAGGTTCTTCTTGGATCTCTTCATTTATGTTTGGAATTCTTGTAAACTTTGCCGAAACATGGAGCCGCCTGGTATTGCCTGGTAGCAAGCTTACTGATTCTGGGACAACACGAGCTCACCATGTGGAATGATGGTCATTTGCAGATGGGAGATTCCCTTTCAGCATGGTGCTGTACAGTTCAGGGTGTTTACGCACGTGATATTTTCCCCTAAGGGTGTCCTATTTATGAGCAGCTTGTCCCTGGTTGCTTTCTACTGAGAGAACCCTCAGAATGTCTTTTCTGTTTGTTGCTTTGCCCCAAAAAACATAACAGGTCCTCAAAATACTGTTTCTGCTTTGGTTGCCCCCCCTCAAGCAAAACAAACACCAAATAGAAAGAATCAAATAAGACTATCAGGTCCTCAGTTTTTTTTGTTAGCAATCGTGTCGAAGGCATCGGTCCTCTTCCTTTGGATCAGGTGAACGGCTCCCGCCTGGTGCAGCTCCGGGTGAGGGCCGCCAACGGGGACGCGGCCCAGAATCGCACGTGCCCCGAAGCCGAAACCCCAACCGACCGAAGGACTCGGTGAGCTGAAGCCCGTAGCCATGGGGCTTCCACCCAAAACCCCTAAAGCAGTCCAATCGGTTTGGCAGAATTTGACCTAGGCAGTTGACCCTACAAATTATGGGGTTGTCTGAATTGGTGGTTTGGTTGAAGGGTTTTCGATTGAGCCACATCCTCAAAGCCGAGTGGAAAGGTTTGGCCGGGGACTTACAGGGTGGGGACTTGCTGGGGGATGTTGTTTCAGGACTCCGAGGTGAGGCAAAATCAACACCCGGGTAAAGGTTCGAGACAATCCCGTTGGGTGCGGAGATCCGCCTCTTCGGTTCTTGAAGCTTGGTCTGGGGATCGACCATTTTAACACCAGGTTGCCCTCAAGCCTCCTTGGCGGTTCCCAGCCGTTTGGTCCGTAGGCTTTTGGATGTTTTGGGTGGTTTAGTGGTAGTGTCCATTTAACCCACTGCAAATGAAACTTTTGGAGGACAGCCCAGACGAAAAACGGTAACTCACTTCCCGAGTTTCTGGACTCCAGTCACTTTTCGTGTTTGGACCATTTTAGTGGCAAACCAACAGTTTGGTTCCTGGTTTTCCCCATTCACTCAGGAAGTGAGATGATGGTGGTTGACCCAATCTAGATGACACGCCTTGGGCAAACGATGGTTAACACGCATCGGTTGTAGTACTGATAAATTAAAAGGTGAAACGATTCATGTTGATGAATCCCACATGTTTTCCGGGTATGTTCCCTGGAAAGGTGTCTTTAAATGGACCTCGTTTCATGTTGATTAGATCCCTTTTCGATGGTCGTTGATTAGATCCCTTTTCGATAGTCCTTAGAAGCAGCCGACCCCCCTTTCATTTCGGAGCCTCGGCCGAGTGCGGTTTTTTGGCCATGGCTCCCTCAGGATATGACCTTTTCTGGCTCCCGGCTGACCTTTTCTACAGAGTCTGAGCAAACTTGAATGACCCCTTGGAGCGGACGAGCTGTCGATGTCAGCCCTTTGGTGTCCATTTTGGTTTCCCAAAGCAACCCCTAAATTACACAAGCAAACATGGATACCGCGGTTCTGTTTGTCTTAAAGAGGGGAATCCCCACACCCCAATGAGCATCCCCTTCTCCCCCAAAAGCGTAAAGTCGTCCCACATGAAAGCAGGGGGTGCCAAAACACAGCGCCTTAAAATCGTATTGATATCAAAATAATAAATAATACAATTTTAGTACGGTTTTACAAAAATATGATTGTAATACGACTTCTATGCTGTTTCCTTGTGTTGTTTGTTCGTTTGCAATGTGAACGTCAATATGATCATATTCAAAGCATACTAAAATTGTATAAAGTCGTAAATTACGATTTGAAAACCACTGCGATACGATGCCCATTTGTTTAACGGTGCTTCACTTCAAATGTATTAAAATGGCATTAACTCGTATTAGAATCGTAAAACCGGCGTAACAAAATCGTAAATGCCAATCGTTCCCAAATCGTATCTGAATCGTAACAAATAAATACATTGGGCTTCCTTGACTTGGCCATCGTAGGTCACAACAGAGTTGCACCGCCACAAACCAGTAGGAAACAAAAGGGGTGTATCATGTTGTATTTGCCATGTTCCTGGCGCAGTGGAAGCCAGCTGATCTTCAGAGTTACACATTTGTCATGTACCCCCCCTATTTTCCTGCTGGTCGCTGAAAACCGGGGTGGTTTTCAATGTTCCGCCCACCGCGTTGGAAAACGCCGCAGGTACCAGCTGTCTGCCTTCCGGGCGCCCTGCCCTCTTGCGCAGCCCTTCTACGCGCCGGACGTGCGGCTCTGCGCGATGACCTGCAACGACGGGTGGGGAGACTCGGTCGGATCCATCGATGGGATGGGACGAGACTCGGCCCTGTCGGAGTGGCGGGGCTTCAAAAGATTTGGGGAGCGATGGCCGAATTGATGTATGTGAAGGGCCTCGCAGAATTGCTGCTTCGCTCGGTTTGAAATTGTTTGGCTCGAGGACAGAGTCAGAAAGCAGCGTGCGACAATCACTTGCGGCATACCCACGGGAAAAATAGGACTGGAAAGGTTATTCGTGCGTGCATGTGCATACATGTCATGTGCAGATGCACACGCCGTTTGCACACGCGCATTTATATCTACTTTATATAGACTATATATATATAATGTGCCCCCCCATGGACCCTGGTTTAGTGCGTTTGACCTGTATTTTTTCCAGTGTTGTGTGCCTTTAAAAAAACGCGTGCAACTTGTTTATACGGCGGGTGACTTCATCTGCTGCATGTCCGGTGCGGCGTGTGCGGAGCCCACTCTGCCAGTGGTTGCCGGCATTTTGATCGAAGCTTCACTCGAGAACCCTTCAAGTGAGTTGACACAGGCAGACAAAAAGCAGACGCGTTGTTACCGCAAATGAGTTCATCTCTGTAAACCACGTACTGTACATGGGGCCAATGACATGACACAAGTCCGACTCTATTTTCGGTTCGTCTTTCTAATTTTGTTGGAGCTCTTCTGACCCTTCAATGTTTTGTCTGTTTCCATCAACACGTTTTAGGCTTATTGTTTTTTGCCCCAATCGTGGAGTTCAACCTCAAAAAGCCAGCGGAACAGCATCCCAATTTGTCCTTGTCCTTTGCGGTAAACGCATATGTTGGACCGCGTGGCCGTTTCGCGCACTGCGGAATTCTCCAGGTACCCAGGTAAGTACCCAGACCCATCGCCCGCTTGGTTTCTCATGACTCCACTTTGTCAGCTGCCAAGGAGCCACGTAAATGCTTCGGGGGGGCGGGGGGCATAGGACTTCCGTGGCAGGTACTTCCCACGGGAAGCGACCAGCCGCTGTGAGATGTGCAGGCAACTCAGAGTTTTTGCCCATCCGCCGAGAGAGTAAATATAGAGCGGCAGATTCAGATCTCCGTCGGCTTGTGTCTATACTCGTGGAGAACACACGCCTCAAGCACTTCCCCCCGAAAAATCCGGGCCAGTCTAAGCATCACTCTTGGCTCGTGACTGAGCTCCCTTTGGGAAACGAATCGTAACCATGCCCAAGCCGCCGATTTGGCCATGAGAGTCTACGGCGATCCGAGTCGAGTCGAGGTTCAGAGCACTGCGTGCGCTGCAGGAGCTGGGACCTGTGCGAGGCTGGGAAAGCTGGCTTCGTGCCAAACCTGCCGACGAATGGACTGGGGTTAGAACCCTATCACCAGACATTCGCCTTCCACATCAAACCGCAAGATCCTGCCAGATGGCAGAGTGATGGTAGTGGTTTCCCTTGTTGTGGTGTCCCACTAGGATTACGCATAAGGGAGTCTTCCAAATATTGAACCCAGCACACTCTGCCAAGTGAAGTCCACAACAAAAGGTCCCTGGCCAAGAGTCGAGTACATTTGTTGGCGGCTTGCTTGGTGAAAGGAAGAGCGTTATGAGAACGGAAAAGGACGGTCTGACTTTCAACATCCACCACATGCCGCAAGTCTCAACCACCACAACCACCCAGAGCCCCAGTGCAGCTTCTTAAATCCAACTACCCAGAAAAGGGTGCCCTGGGAAGTAGGACACCACAACAGCGCAACACCTGAACGTGAAGGAACTTGCGGAAAGACAGGGGTGGTTCACGCACGCCAGTGATGAAATTCGGGTGCCTTTCAGGGTTTGCTCAACAGTCCGGTTGCTTTGCGCATGGTTACAGTTTGGTACTTGAGTGCTGTGCATTCGAAGGTATCCAGGTCCCCCAGTAGTGTTATTTTACCCTTTTTTGGGGGAGGGTTCCCCTACTAAAATAGACTACAGAAAAAGGGGGACCCTTATTCTAACCTCTCTACTGGAGAACCTAAGTATATATATATATAGAGTATTCTTGATCGAGGAAATAGTGTTCGTAAATGTTGCTTTTCCTATGCTGCGAAACAGGGCTATCATGTGCGTACTCGTGAAATGATCTCATCAAAGCCTCTCGCGAATTCAACCTCTCATGCCGCGCTCGCGAAACAGAGTCCATGTTTCTCTTTGGCCGAAACTGGGTTTAGAACAACGCTGATTGGGCCACCCTTAAACAAATTTTGTATGTTTTGATGATGTGGACCAAAGGCAAAAGCTAAGACTCTGATCTGCATAGTATCACAACGCCATCTAGAGCCCAATACCCAGCTCAAGTGGGCGCTATCCAAATGGGCGCTATCCAAATCAGGAACCCCCGTTTGGTTGTTCCCGTTTCTGGTGCCTTTCTTGGGTACATGTTTCTCAGTGGGAGACCCAACAAAGTGGTTCCTTCAAACACCAACAAGGGGGGTACCATCAAGAAGTACGCCCTCAAGTTTCGAGCAGAGCTTGTTGGGCCCCAACAGGTCCTCTCTACCTTCGAACGCGCACATGTTATTTTCCCCACCCAAACGGCACAAACCCAACCCATAAACGAGGTGCGTTCCAAGTGCAGATGACGAAGCATGAATGTTGTTGTGGTGGTATGGCAAAGGGGGACGATTCTTGCATAGCTCGCTTGGTTGATGTTTGTTCTCACGTTTTCATTCATGTCTGGCGTGTCTCTAACTTTTTGTTCCAGCCCACCCCTTTCTTTTTGGTTTCCCCCCCCCCCGGGGAGCCCGGAGCTCGCTCGACCCAGTCGGCCGCAGAAGCGACTCGCGCGTCGAGGTGTGCGAGGCCTCGCAGTGGCAGGCGCTGCACTTCCTGCGCCTCGCGGATGGCCGCTGCCAGCTGCCGGGGCCCCGAGGCCCCGAGGCCCCGAGGGCCCGATTTCGGCCGTGGACAAACGGCGGAACCGGGAGGCGTGGAGTGGCAGGGAGACGGAAAGCGATCATCCTTGGCGCGCAGGACTTCTTTTTCTTTGGTTTCTTGACGTGTGTATATATATATATATATATGATGTATCTGTGTTTGTGTGCGCGTTTTGTTTTGTCGAGATGGGTGGTGTTGCCGTTGTTCTTTCCCAACCTGATGGCTTAGGTGGTTTTCCAGAGGTTGGGTAATTGTCCTTAATCATATAAGCACAAAGCGTCGGAAAGAGTAAGATCCGGGCTGAGCTCATTGCTTGAGGCTTCGCATTCCCTGGCGCCTGCTGCTGCTAGGTGCGGCCAGCCCTTTACATCGAAAGGGGCGAGGATGAGGCCCAAGAAAGGGTCGGTTGCTTCCCATTACACGCATGTTCCTTTGCAGAGATGAGACACTTCTAGTTGGCTCTTTGGGTATCCTTTCTGACAAATGGCCATTTTACCTGGTGCTTCTTGGGCAGCGTTGCTGAAGTTCTGGACTTCTAGCAGTAGAAAATGATTCCGTGATAGCCTTCCTCCGGCACCTACAGACTAGAAGCTTCTTCAGGCTTGTTTCACTGCAAGTCCCCAAACACCCAGAGGTTTCCCTCCCATGGCCCTTGGCCGAGTGCAGCTGACAGACGCATGTGTCGAAACTCACGAGGTGGCTGCGCTGCGATCGGGGTGGTGTCCCTGTGCTTCTGCTTCCTCTTCGCCTGCTGTTCCCCGGCAGCAAAAAAAGGCTCCAACAGACGCGCCGGCACGTGGAGAGACCCCGAAAATTATCGTCGTTCAAATTGGATTACTCGATCAACAGAACTGGTACCTTGAGGCTGGGGAGATGCAGCGAGAGTCGAAAGTTTGAGTTGAGTTGAGTGATTGACTCGAGAGAAAGAGAGAATGAGTTAAAGAGAGGAAGAGAGAATGAGAAAAAAGGGGAAAAATCGAAAACAAATAAATCACTTGCAAACCTGAAGCCCAGGCTGGGGCAGTACAAGCCAGGGCCTTAGACCCTTTTTTTGTGCGCGCGACGGGCTGGCGGATGGTGGCGGGGCGTGTTAGCCGAGCACCTCGTTTGCCTCGACTCGAGGCCGGCCAAAGCGACGGAAGCCGGTTCAGGAGCCGGCGGATGGGTTGGGGCGAGAGGTTTTGCCCTTCCGAAGATTTGTTGGACATGGACCAAAATTGGTCGCCGGGAAGGTTGTAGTTCGTCCGACCGTTCCCAGGGCAACCCATCTGGGGTTGCCCCATTTTTATCCATTTGGGAAATGGCACAGGAGATGTAGCACGCATGCAGGAGATTGTAGGAGTTCTCACAAAGGTAGGTTATTCTTTGCTCAGAAAGTGACTTGGAAGGACAGTCTGAAGTCAAACTGGTACCCCTGCTGGCTTTTTTGAACATCAAACCACCAGTCCCTAGTTTTGACATGTACATGTTGCCCGCATACGAATTGCCTTTTCTGCCAGAACACAGGCCCCAGATTGAAAGGCGACAAAGCAATTAGAACTATGGGCGAAGACCTTCTCCACAAGTCGTTGCTGCCTTTCAGGAAGCACATTTGGAACCGCCCTTCCCACCAGAAAGGCTTTACGCAGACACCTTGGATCAGACACCCTTCTGAAAAGATCTCCAAGAACCTGTCCTGGGGTCCCGGAGGGGCCTTTTGCGTCGCCCCGATTCATTGCGTTTCGTTTGGTTGACATCATTTGACATGGCAAGGTTCACTCACTATGGAAAATTGCTTTGTAGTTAGTCCAGTAGCACCACCCTCCGAAGGTGGATTGTCTGTCTGATAGACCTGCGGTGGTCTTCTTTCCAGCTTGCTGAGGCATCAGTTTTTTGATGGTAAGCACGCAGGTGTCGGGGCAAACTTGTCACTTGCAAGCTACTGGTAGGCTCAAACCCTGGCACTTAGCAAATCAAGCCTTGTTCTGTACTAGGGTCGATTCAATCAGGGTGTGGACACAAGCCCTGGATGGATCATATATTACTTGCAGGATTTGGCCCACACGGGCAGTGACACTGGGGCGACAAAGGGGCGAGACGGGGATGACACGCTGGTTTTCGAAACGTGTAAATCCCTAAAATACCTTTCGCGCTCAATGCTCACTTTAAGGCTCGAAGGAGTCATCTTCATCACTCTCCTTGGCATGTGGCCGGCTGCTTTGCTGCCACCCTCACCTGTACCCACTCCCTGAAGGTGCCGTTTGATGGCACGCTTCAAGGCATGCTCAAACGATGGCACTTAGCACAAAAGTAACATGTCTTTGTACCAACAGCTAAGTGCCCTCAAATGGAGGGCACTGGGAGGGTGCTGGTCCAAAGATGCGACTTTCATCAAGGACTGCCATCATGGAACCCCGAATATCTCCATGCTATACCAGTCATGTTCCGCAGTTGTTGGACAAAGCCAGGATGGGAAGGGTTTCCCAGAACAGCCCTGGGGCTCAAGGGCTAAGTTAGATCCCCAGATGAGGCAGGGGTCCTTGGTTTCTGTTCCCGGAAAGGACCTAGAGCAAGAGGAGCAGAGCCCTGGTCTCAGCTTCAAGCCAAGCGAGCACTTTGCGGATTTTCAAGGGGTGTCCTTTTGCTGTGCCACAGCAAACACAGGGGTTATCCATTGAGCCACAAGCATAGAGGGGACAGTTCCCTTACCATAAACAGATTCAGCTAGCTTACACCGGACCTCAGGTTTCGATTCGACTGGTCCAATGCCTTAGGTACTTTAGCCACCTCGGTGGCTTGACCCCCCGTGGACCTTGGATGTGATGAGCGCATCCCACATCTGGACAACTTTTTGTTGAAGGGTGTGAAGAAAGGCACAACGCGCGGATGTGTCAAGCTTGGACCCTACCGGGTGGAAGTCCTGATGTCAGCCGCAACCGCCTTGAACAACGCGTGGTGGCTAGGGTAGCCGCATGATTTCGCTGTGGAGCCCATGGTTGGTCTCCTCCTCGAGCAATTCGAAGGGATATGGTTGGAATTTATACGCTTGACAAGTGAGTGTGGTGAGTGAAGCGACAGAGGCGACATAGGTGGAGGACCTTCCCATTGAGCACTAAATCCTCGGCGTACATGTTTGTTGTCATATCGACCCGTTGCGCAAGCAACGGCTCCGCAGGCGTAGGGTGGCGCAAGCAGATGTTGAGGGGAGATGGCACGTAAGCATTGTGCGCAAGGTTTGTTCAATCATGATTTGGTGATGTTCATGTGCTTTGACCAGACTGGCTGCGATTGGAGAACAGGTTGTTTCCTTTGCGTGGTGGAGATTCCCGTGGCTTTCAAGAGCCCTCGTATTTCACGCCAATTTACAGAAGCCAACCAAACTCCAGCCGCATTCTTGTATTCAACGTGTGAGGCACGCCAAAGGCATACGCAAGGCCCTTGCCTTTCCAACTAGTAGGCCTCAATAGCCCTTGCTTCCTTGTGTCAATTGCAATGGTTATTGTTGCATGTGGAAGGTTGAATCGGTCTTGGTGTTCAAAATGGTGACTTTTATCCCAACGAGAAGGGCCGCGGAGCTTTGACAGCAAGCCTTTGGGTTTGCCTTTTTTTGCCTGGAAACAAAGTTGGACGGCAGACCTCCTCTTTGCTTCTGAACCCACACTCATAGGATAAGGCATATTGTGGCTTGGTTAAAACATGGCGAAACATCAATATTGGCAGTTGGAGTCCCAGCAGATGTTTGGGAAATGAATTTGGGTTTAACCATTGCTTGTCAAAGTAAGTCTTGCTTGTTCCCAATGGTTCTGCATATGCTTGAACAACCTTGCTTGCCTCCAAGCAGCAATGTATCCCTCCACTGAGAACAAGCAAGCTTGACTCTGCCATTTCAATCGGGACTCGCTGGTACCACAGAGACTTCCAAATCAGCTTGCTTCCCAAAGAATTGCAGAGATTGCAAGTGAGAGACAGCAAGACAACGGGTATCCAAAAAAGGGGTGCACCCACTCAAACAAGGGGGAGCAAGGGCACAAGTTGGAAAGAAGGAAGGGTTGCGAAAACCAAAACGCCACCTCAAGGAGATCCAGTTGATATGGCCGACCGGTTCGTTTACGCGAAGCGAGGCCAGCGTCTGCTGGGGATCAGCGGCTGGGGCCCCGTGGGTTTAAGAACCATTTGCTGAAATGTCCAGCGGCCCGGTGCTGTAAGCTACGCGGTTTTTTGGCCTCCTATTCAAGTCTGGAGAATCCAGTTCCAAAGTCTGGAAACTCCCGAAGTTGTCCTCTGTGGTGGATGCTATCTCAACTTCAAACCTAGAGCCCAAAATCCTGGTTTTCAAAATTCAGGTGGGATGACGCCCTCGAAGATATCAGCCGCCTCTCATCCTCAGAATTCCCACACAAAATAATGTGAGGTGATATGTCAAGAAGAGCCAGTAATGGATCCTAAAATGTGTTTGTTTGTTACTATTCAACCCAGAGAAACAAAAACAAACAGTGAGGTCCAACTCGCGCCGCATACCCTCACACATTGCCACAACACCCACCAAAAGGGTCCATGAAGAGAACAAATGTTTAAACCGAGACTGCACCTAGTCCGATTCTATGGCGATGTGGGTGGGAGGGTGCCGATATGTGCGTGCCAGCACTTGGTAGGTTTTCGCTATGGTTGCATGGGGACTAACCCCAAGTATCACCGTGGTTGTCAAGGAAAGTGCTCAAACAACTTGCTTTTGTAGCCAGCAGTGGACAATCACCCCCCAGAAAGATTGGTGGGCAATCGGAGAATGGGTAGGTCAGCAGTTGCGAGCCCTAGCTGCCTAAGGCTCCGATGAGGACTGAGATGAGATAATGCAGGGCAAAGAGCAGCGATGGGTTTATCTCTTTCCAGTTGGTTTGGGGTTGTATGAGAGGAGCCAAAGAAAAATGCGGCTTCATCAAATCCTAGTGGCCTTCGATTTCACCGAGACTTTACTAGTTGCTCTTTGCCGACTGGGGCCCCGCTTGCGAAACAAGTGGCTCGTGCGGCAAATGACCAAAAGTGTCACGTGCACAGTTCGCGTTGTCGTTTGTCCTAGCTTAGGCCAGCGGCCACGCATCCCTGAGCATGTGGATGCCCATAAGTGCCTTGTTGCGTGAGGTCTTGCGCAATGGGTGTGTCTCCGTTCACTGTCAAACCATCGAAAAGGCGTGTCACAAACCCTACCTGCCTTTGAACAAAAAAACAGCCCTTGTGCAACTCTTGTCCCCTAACCCGCTTCGGCGCCTTCATGGCTCAAACCTGAGGGAGGTCACCTTTGCAGTCCAAGCCCAGTTCATGGAGCAACCCATCCAACCTCGCACATCGATTTCTGCGCGGCAAGTAGCGCCACAGCGACAAGGGACGATTGCGAGGCGCGGTTCCCACGGACGTTCCTTTGGCTCTTTGAGTCTTTGAGTCTTTGGGGTCGACGGCGCCCGCTTGGTGAATCGTAGTTTACCTCCTGGTGATATTTGGCCCGCACGAAATTCATAGCGGTTCTCGAAATGTTTTGTTTGGAGTGCTATCCTTCGTGCCTGGCTGAACCGCGTCGATGTTGGTATTAATGCATGATGTCCAAGGGAAGATGGCCGTCGTGGGCAGAAAAGTTGAAGCCATTGAGAGGCACCCCCAACACAAAGCTTGGCTTCATGCAGTCATAGGTTGTCAAACGTGGTTGCCTTGTTTGTTCTACACCTGGCATCCTTCGCGGCGTCACCAACGGTTTGGGTTCGACGTCAACCAAGTTCGCGATTCATGCTGAGTTGGGCCACTTTTGGCCATGCCTCTTTAGTTTTAGGTTGGTGACATCCCCATGCACCCGCGTGTTTTGGCTCATGCATGGCTTAAAGCTTGAATCGGAAGAGGTTGCTTCAACTCAGTGCACAAAAGCCCAGGTTGTTTGTATCGATTGAGCTTCATTTGCGGGGAAAGTGAACTCGGCCTTTGAGCCAGCGCACTTGCTCGAGCAAGTGCAGGTTTGTCCCAATCCCGAGTACTGTGTCAAACTCAGGAACGCGTGCATGAGCTGCCCCCGAGAAATGCATAGCCAATTCAAATCAGGTCTCCGCCTTCGGAACCAAACAACTGGTCCCATGTTGGCGCTTTCCAGCCGACCGGTGCATCGATTTCTCGCGAGGCTCACAGACTGAAGTCAGCGATGAGTTGGCAGGCGAGAGCAGGGCAGAAGGCATCCGCTGAGTTCAGGGAAGTCAAGGGTACGCCTCGAAATTTCGCCTCAGCTTCGAATCAAGGCCCAGGGGAAGCACGTAAGTACCGAGTCAAGCCACATTGAGGCTTTCAGCAAGCCCCCCTCCCTCCCCCCAACTTGCTGCAGGCGAACGCATATGTTGTACCGCCGTTGTTGTTTTTCTTGCCCAGGGAGCTGTGCAGTACTGGGCCGAGAAGGCGCGACAGATGTGTGAGAATGGCAACATCAGACTGGCTTTTGCGGTAAACCCAATGAGCAACTTCTTGTGTACTGCGGGAGCGGTCAAGATCAACTGTTTTGGTTGGGGAGATGTGAGTGGTTGTCCCTTCATCACTAGACTGGAGTCCTACGATGTTTGCTTGTCCTTGGCAACGCCTTTCTGTTGCCAGAGGGATCCGAGGTGGTTTTACCTCCCTGGTCGCTGCATGTCTTCTGGATTTAGTTGGCGTTTTCGGCGGCAAGCAAACAGACACCGAAGCCCAGGTGGTGCCTTAAAACAGGAGAGCCTTCATTGAAGGGTCCTGTGCCCCAATGCAACCAGAGTACGCAACGGTTTGAGCTGCCAAAGCCGCACCAAGCTTAGGTTCAGACCATTCCCATAAACCTCTAGACCTGTCGCGGAGTTTTTGACCTGAGGGGCGTGCGTTTGAGGCTTTTGTCCGTTTCCTTTAGGGACCAACGGAACGCCTCGGGTCCAACACTCGAAATTTTCAGCTCCAAGCGGCGCGCAGCTCGCAGCTCGCAGCTCGAGGCCGGCTGCGCCGAGCTGGACTTTGTGGGCTCCAGCCAATTCGTCCGGGTCGCCCAAAGCGCTCCGACGGATCCGACGGCCTCCACTGGCGACCCGCATGGAACTTGTCGCAACCCATTGAGCCCCTGCTTCGTTTGCAATGTGTGTTGAGTTGTGAGCCATTTTTTTTACAAAGGCACGCCAAGTTGTTCTGGAAGTCAAGGGCGGTCACACGTTTTCGTGTGAAAACCGATCCTTAAAACAAATTCACATTTTCCACAGGAGCGGGTATTTCGTTTGAGCGATTAGCATTGTAAGGCCTATACACACGTTTGGAAGCATCTCAGTGGAACTGAAAGTCGATTGGGGCGCTCCTTTGTTGGCTTCTGGTTCCAAAAAGGTTGGTAAATGATCCTTGATAGGGAAGTCCTGCTAATTCGTATGAGCCAAGGGTGCAGTTTCCTGCAACGTATCCCTGGTGGCTGGTCCTAAGGAGCGGCCTTTGGAAGAATCAGAGAGTCACCGGAAAATGTATCCAAACTCATCCTCTTTCTTCTGTACTTTGGGAAGACACGGAGTCTCCCCAACATGCGCCAATTTTGAAGGTCAAGAAGATGCCGAATGCAAAGCCGCGTGTTTTGTCCTGCGATGACGGAAAATGTGTAAATGGTGGAACATCTGAGTGTTGTGGCTTTCATGAAAGTCGTTGCGGGTGGCAAGATGTTTGCGATATGCCCGGGTGTTTGCCAATTTCTTTTGGCTTTTCTTTGTTCATTTGGGGGGTTCCGGCTTCCCAATTGGGGCGGGGTGGTAAGAGAAGCCATGCGCTCGGGGGGTGGAATGGCCCATTTCCCAGGCTCGAGTATGGACCTACTCCCTCATCTATGGCTTGGTCATGACCATCGGCATCACCGTGCCATTCCGATGGCGCGGATCTCGGATCGGTCCGACTGGATCGGATGTAGGACCTAATTACCTGGAAGTGCTCAGGAGTGGCTCAAGCTCACCCCTTCAGCGTGTCTTGACTGTCACGGGGCTGGTTCAGTTTCTGGGGCTAGTCAGAAGCTGCAGCTGCATGGGGTGGTTTCCCTGAAGCCTACTGAACGGGGGTGCGGCTCAGGTGCGCCTCTGGGAAGGCTGGCATCAAGATCGCTGATGAGCCGTGCGCCCAGCAGCTTCCTTTTCTTTCTTGCAGCACTTCGCCGAGTTTGCGGTCAGCTTCTAGAAAGGCCTGTGTGAACCAGTTGAGTGGATTCGCAAAAAGGGCCAGGTCGTTCATGTATTTTCTGAGTCAAGCGCTTGGACTTCCTTTGGCCGACCTGGATTCAGCAATCCGACGTACACCCTGGGCCGCACCTATCACTTCTCAGTTTGAAGCAAATCTCGCACGTGTTGCCTCAAGGTCTTGTTCCTTTCAAAAGCAAAACACACAACTTGAGAACCAACAAAGAAAGGTTCGGGGTTGAACCAAAGATTCTCCCCCAGAGTTTGTTTCTTTTTTCATGTTTCTCGTTTTCTTTTTTTCGAATATGGCCTTTGGATCCCTCGCGATTCTTTGTGAAGAATCCCGGCCGAGGCCTGACGGAGATACGGAAGAGGCCCGGATGAGTCCAGACAGTGGCTGGGCCCGTTTCGGGATTTGTCTATTCTGAAACGAAGCCGCTCTGGAACAGGCCATTTGGATGGGGCTTAGTTTTGACGGATTCCAAAATAGGCATGTTTCATGCGCCTAGTTTGACCTTCAACCGATGCTTCTAGTGCTAGTTGTCCAATGCAAACCCCCCGGGCTTCAATTCAAGTTACACAGGGAAATGGGGAAATGAGCATACCCTCTAAGCAAATATCCGTTTATTTTAAAGGTATGGCAAAATATCCGGGTTTTTCCAGGAAATACCGGGTTTTTACTTTTTGCGTTGTAATCAGAATGGTCTTGCGTGAGTTATGATTGTGGTTCCCTCAATATAATCCTTTTGTTGGCTCTCTTACATCCAGTCAATCGCTCCACGGCCGCCTAGCGATCCCATCCAAGCAAGCTCATTGAGCATGGCACCTGTTGCAAATCACCTGCTGAACTCGAAACAATGGTCAATCCACAATTTGTTGGGAAGGCTTCCCAGATCGTGGCTCGGGAAGTTTAAAACAGCATTGGAATATGAACTTTCTGACAAGGGCAACAAGCGGTAGCTGCACGTGTATACATATTTTGTATGGCACTGAGCAATCTGCTTGGGACTGTTTGCGTAAAGCTCGCGTCGGATACATCTGGAGGGCCGTCTTGCAAATGCTCACTGTTTGACAACCAAGTCCCGTGCTAGAGCATTGATCCCGGAACTTCTCGCAGGCTTGTCTAAAACGTCGCAGGAACATCATTTTTGGAGCGAGCCAAAGGAACCTAACCAGAACCTAACCCACTTTGAACACTGGACAGCAGGTAGTAAAAGACGCGTGGGACGAACACATGAATGACTGCTTTTCGCAGGGACACCTTGCAAGCTTATTTCGGGCAGCTCAGGCCTGGAAAGCTGCTTGAGCAGAGGCTGAAAATCCCATAAATTGCGTACGGGTTTGTACGGTATTTTTATGGGATTTGTACGGTTTTTGTACGGGTTAGGAAAAACCTGGTTTTCGGGAAAATATGGGTTTGTATGGGATTTTTATGGGATTCGTATGGGATATTTATGGGTTTCCTTTTTTTTTCGCACGCGCTCGGCCTTCCAGAAGCTTTCCAGCAAGGAAAAGCGGGCACACAGCTAGATTGCGCGAGCAGCGAACTGGTTTTGTATGACATTGCGGTAGAACGTCCGAAGGTTTTCGGGCACAAGCACGTACTACGCAACATGTTTGGCTTGGACTGTGCTTCCCATCGAATCAAAGTTAGGTGCTGGAAGACAGTGCGACTTGGCCTGAGGCCAGCTTTGTTGGCATTTGGCTTGTGCGCCGAGCCGAGTAAAGAATGCAAGTGTCACTTTGGGATACTGCCTGATGTTTTAAAAATACAAAAAAAGTACCAAGATGAGCATGATGTGTCAATCACGCAGAGCTACTGATGGTCATGTAGTGAGCTGCACACTTGTACATTCAAGTTGGTTGTCCCGCTGCATTGTTGAGTTTTGGTTGACCACGCCCTCGCGTCTACCCCTGCCTTTTGAGCTCCAATCTTGAGGAGCAGGGGGCTATCGCGCACTTGGCGGTACAAAAGGAAACCACAAGAGATTCCCCAAAAACATCTAGAAACCCAATATACAATTTGGCAGTGAAAGAAACCTGGCGGCTCCTTTCAACCTGCGCGAGATCTGGCACCTTTGCTCTGTTCTTCAAACATCCGACATTTCGCTTGCGAAAAGTGCCAAAATAAAGGATGTAAGTGAAATACCAGGTTTTTCCCTGGAAAACCTTTATTTTTCCAAAACTTGCCCAAAAACCAGGTTTTCCCATTTGACCCTTTAAAATTAAAGGTTTTTCGCTTAGAGGGTATAAGCAAAAGGTGAGCCCGTAACCTACCCGGTCTGAATCGAGTGGCCAGTCGCTCAGGGAGGGGATGCTGCGAAGAAGAAGCTGCAAGAGACCCTGACCGGTCTTGGGGCCGGTGACCCAGATCCCGGGGTTGGCTTCAGCAATTTGTTCGCACATGTTTAAGCGACTTTTGTTAGAACACCTCCTTTCGGTGTCCCTTAAAAGAACTCCAGGGACCGGTGACCTTCGGGATAGCCCAGAAAGGGCTTCAGCAGATCATATTTCTCTGTCCAACATGGTAGCAGCAGAGAGAAGCTAAAAGAATGACATGACTGTGGTATCTGACAGAGAAACCCTGGTGCAGGGCAGCTTATCGCCTGGAAGCCCTGACTTTGACCAATCGAACCCCGTCGATCGAATTTCATTGCATCCGAAGCGCTCCGAGGAAGATATCAAGCCAGACAAAGAGGCACTTGATGTCAACTTGAGAGGAGAAAGCGCCTTGTGTTCTTGATGGCTTGGAGGAAGGACACAGAACAGCTACCAGTTTGTTGGCGTAAGGCTAAGAGACACATGTGTTTGTTTATTTTCTTTCTTTTTTTGTGTTTGTTCTTTCGTTGTGTCTTTCTTTGTTTCTTTCTGTATTATCTTTGTGTTTTTTCTTTATTTCTTTCTTTCTTTCTTTCTTTCTTTCTTTCTTTCTTTGTTTATTTTTTTCTTTCTTTTGTTCTTTCTTTCTTTCTTTCTTTCTTTCTTTCTTTTGTTCTTTATTCCAGTTTTCTTTTTTTTCCTTCCTCTCTCAGGCCTGCCTGCCTGCCTGCCTGCCTGCCTGCTTGCTTGCTTGCTTGCTTGCTTGCTTGCTTTCTTGCTTTCTCTGCGACATTGCAGAACATCAGGGAGGTAACACGAGATCAACACTTCATACAGAGGCTTGCCAGAGACACTCGCATCTGTGAATCCATGGGCCTGCCGCGCATTTGGCTTCGCGCTTCGCAGGCTGCAAAGCGGCACTTGATCAGGACCAGCGCCACCATTCGCCGCAGCCTTAACCCAGGGTCGGCTCAAAGAAAGGCCAAAGGATGATCTGAAAAATATGATTTTAGCAAGGGCTATTTGAACTTTGTCATTCCACTAAATCCCAAATGGACATTCATGGCAATGTACCTTTCTGGTTTCAGTTTTGGGCAAAAGCATGGAGGATGCGATCGGTTTCAGAAGCCAAGCGTTCCACCGAAAGGACGGATCCTCACCTGTTTTGCAAGGAGAGACATTTTCATTCGACCATCTGTCTTTTCCTAAGACGGGGTTACGGCGTTCATGGCATCTCCGCGCTTCCGCGGTTCAGCGGTTCCGCGAATGTCCGCGCGTCCGAGATGGCAAGTGGATGAGCCCTTTGTGGACGCCCACTTACCGCCTTTCCGAGATCGGCGCCTTGACTGACAGGGATCGTCGTTTTTCGGTCGGTTCCGTGGCTGAAAGCGCAAGAGGACCCAGGTTGGGCGGTTGGATCCTTTTGCGGTGTTGGAAGGGAAGGCCTGACAAAGCCACACTTTCTTGGAGGAGTCCCCAGATTGGAGAATGCACTCCGTCACAAGGATTTTGGATTTTGGGTTCGAGCTCAGCTCCAGCTCGGCTCGGCTGGGTACTGGGCTCGTGCCACAGCCGGGTGATCCACAGGTTTCCACTGTCAGGTCACTGCCCCCAAGCGAATGTGGGCTATTCTTGATTTGGTCGTTCAGAGTGGCAATATTCCAACCACGTTCCCAACTGCGGGTGGTTGGGGGCCTGTGGAAACCCTTTTGGAATGGATTCCAACACTGACATGCACAAACACAGAGGACTCTCGTTTTCAGGGCATCCCTTCGGGTTCAATGTGATTCGTGGGTATTTGAACTGACTTGAAGGAATCAAACCCATTTCGAGAGACATCGCGTAAGGGCGCATAGGGCGCAACATGCAAGTTGTCAGGGACAAACAGTGGCAAGGTGTGGCAATTGCGCATAGGGTGGACTTTCTCACTCGTTGCTCACAGGAGATGTTGGTCCGACCGCCCGATGGGTTCGGGAAGAGTTGACTCAGGTCAGTGAGGTGCACCTCATCCCCTAAGATGTGCACCATGGGTTTGTCCCACAGAACTACCTGACTCCCACAGAACTACCTGACATTGGTCGTAAATCCACAGCACTTCCAGGGAAGAATATCAGATTTGCGTGCCTCAAGAAGAAAGTGGGACCCCTTGTTGGATGTTTCAAAGGGAAACCAAAAGGACGTCTACCCGGAGGAGTCGGTCGCCTTTGGGACACGCCCAGCGCTCACCGATGGTTCCCCACTCGCTCGGCTTCAGGTGGAACGGGCACGGAGCTGTACTTCCGCACCTTGAGGCGCGAAGTTTCAAATTTCCCCCGCTGTCAGCGTCGCCTCGGGACCATGTGGCGTCAAACATGGGTCCCACCAACGCACCAATTGGTACATGGAGCCGAACACGAAAAAACAAATATCCTGCGGTCACCGGGTGGTGTAACTTTTGACCCGCACTGCGGGTTTTTGGGACTTAGCTGTTTGGCGCCAACGTGGGCCCAGTGCTTCTTCCGCTTTGGGCTGTCCATGTTTTCTCTTGTTTTCGCTGTATGTGTTCCCCTTTCGAGTTGGTTTGCCATGGCTTGCCTTATAAATCAGTGGTTTCTCGCACCACTGGTTTTGCAAGTAAGCCCAAAATTAGTCGCGCAAGGGGAGGCAGTGTGATTTCTTGGGTGAAAGGTGTCAACAAAGGGAGGCAGTTGGGGAAAAGCTGTGGCGTCCCATGGTTGTGTTGCTTCAGAGCTCCTTCCTGGGGGTAGGTGTCGCCAGGTTGTACATTAAAATCGCAACCAGTAACCTACAAACACTTGCCGAAGGTTGGAAATTAGACATGCTGGAAACAAATAGTCAATGTGTTGCCTGGTGATCCTGTGCAAGGAACTTCTTCTTCATTTTTGCCTACATGGTGCTGGCCTGAGGATCCTTCCAGAATCGGCGTCCGCAGAAAAGTCCGTTGGTCCCACGCAGCGATTCCTTCCGAACGCGCGCGAAGTTTCAACCAGCAAAGGCGAGCCATCGCCTCTGTCGGTTTTGATCCAACCGATTCCATCGAGCGGGCCAGTGGATTCTCATTCCATCTTCCGCACCTCCGGTTGTATGGTTGCGGCTCCTGTAGATCAGCCTCCACCATGGCCTCTGAAAGGGTGCCCGTTTGAAGCTTTGTGAAGTGAGATCTGAGATCCCAGACGCCCCCTTGTTCATACCAATCTTCCCTGGCGCACTGAGACCGGTTCAGCGGTTGTCTTCTGGTTGGTGGGTTCCCCTCCAGACTCTAAACATGAAATCCACCAAACGTGTTCTTTTTCAATCACATGGTGTCCATTCGGTTCCATTCTGTTTGGATTTTGCTTGGAAATCCGCAAAGCATGGTTTCCATTCTAATTACCGAAGCGGCAGGCAGCCATTGTTGAAATAACCTCCTTCTGGTTCCGCGTGGAGGGGGTAGCCGGGCTGTGTTTAAGCCAATTTTGCCACCACTCACGCAGAAGACTTAGCTTCAAGCCAGTGCAAATGCTGCTCGGCTGAAGGGTTGGAATCAGGGTTGGGCCAAACCCTCTTGTTTAAAGATCGGGAATTTAAACGTCCTCCTTGTAGTATGCCCTTGTGTGGCCAGGGTATGGTTGTTCAAATGTTGATCCGGGGTTGAAACGCTGCTTGGGCCACCCCCCAGATCTTCAAGCATTGAACCAACCTCCATTTGGCTGCCTCTTTTTTGCTGGGTAACAGGGGACCTCTCCCTCAAAGCTGCCCAAACAAGCCGTGGCTTATTCGGGAGACCAAATCCATAGCTTTCAGCGCTTGCAGGAACAAGCCCCAGAGCTTCTCTGAGAGAAAAGTCTAGCCTCAGCTGACTGGACAGAAAAAGCGAGACTGAAGTTCCTCCGAGCCTCAAACTACCAATAAAGAAAATCGGGAATTCACCTTAAGCATCATTTTTGGGCCACCCATTTTCGCTGGTCTCAGGTGTTTTGTGCATTCGCAAGAGAAAGTGGAAGCAGGCGGGCATCACCGGGCCGCTGCTGGCCTTCTCCATGTTGGGCACCTTCGGGCCCGACAACGGCCAGGCGAGAACTCGGATCGGACATCGTTCGGAAGCCCGCGCCCCCGCAAAACAACGCTCGCATCCTGACTTCCTGGACTTAAAGCTTCTAGGTGTGGACTCAAGTTTGGATCATTTTGGTGGTGAACAACATAAGTTTCGTCTTTGTATCTGACCAATCCACTCAGGAAGTGAGAAAGAGAGTGGTTGCGAGGCCCCAAAGAAGGGTTGTGAAAAGATCGCCAAGAACGAAGCTGGAAAAGACGGACGAGTGAAACGTCGGACGTGCCAAGCTACGGGCGGTCGGACCGTCGAGCACCTTCGCGGGGCGAGGTACAAACGGGAGCCCGGTGACTCGAGACCCCGAGACCCGAGACCCGAGGTGTGCTGAAGACTTCTGGGGGGGTTGTTCTCAAAGAACTGTTTTTTTTTTTTCTCGCTTGGGGATTCCGAATGTTTCCTTGCAGCCCAGATACACCAAGTTCAAGTCCAATTCTTACATGAAGCTCCATTTGTGTTTTTTGATTTTGGGGTGTGTTCCGCTTGGTTTGATTTCTCTGACCCATGTTTTTGCATTTTCTGATTTGGGACGCATAGCGACTTGCCCGCCGTCAGTTCCTGGTGAAGACCACCATTGGCAACCTCGGCTGGGCGCGCAGTGGTGCGATGGCGGTCCGTTCGAGCGGTCCCGTCGTGGCCGTGCCACAAACCAAGAACTTGCTGGCGCGATAGATAGGGCATGTGAGAATGAACCCACAGATTCTTTTATAGGAAGCCACCAGTTGGATGATTGATAAGGGTCATTTCCTCATTCCTTGCTGAACACCAGCCAGAAGAGGAATACCAAAACATCAAAAGGCCTTGCATGCTCGCGGAATCGTCACCATGGCCCACAGGAGACTTGACCATAGCACAAATGTTGGAAGGCAACCAGCAGGAAAACACTTTTATTCGGGGGGGGGGCGCGGAAGGGGAAGGGGTGTTCCCTAATTGGAGACAAGCCCAGATGCACACACCCAAAGGAAAGGGGTTACACCTTACTGGGTAGCCCAGGAAATGTATCATAGGCCTGCTTATTGGCGCACTGGTTGGGGTATGTCAATTTGGGGTATGTAGGATCTTTGAGAACGCTATAGACCCTCACGGGAACTACTAAAGCAGAGAGTAGAACCCAGGTTGGCCAGCCGGTTTTGGGCGGACGTGTGTTTGTGGGTGTGCATACCGTTCCTATTCTTGGCAGCTGCTAGAGACTGGAACCCAGATTTGGGTTCTGCTGAGGCGAGTTTGTGGCGGCTGACCTTATCGACCCGTGGAGTGTTGAGCCCAGATCCAGAGATCCAGACAGCTTCGGGGCAGCTCAACGCAAAAACCAAGCTAAGGTATCGTGTGGCTACGGTGTGTATGTGCCAACAGGAACCCTAAGCTTTCAGGAGGCCCATGCATTCTTCCAATAAGGTGGTTTCAAAATCACAGCCTGGGCGTGGATAGCAGTGATAGATGCGTCGTCGTGGAGTGTAGACATGGCTGCGTGTCAAAAATGGATCATGAGAACAACCATGAAACCGTTACCAAATATGCTCTCCGGCCCGATATGTCCTCTGCGCCTTGTTGGTAGTTTCTAAGCTTAGGGATTTCTTTGGATGGTGCAAAGGGAAACAACCCTAGCCTAGTTCTAGGGGAGCCAGCTTTTGGAAACATGTAGTTTTCGTTCTTGGCCTGCTTTGGTGCTGGCACTAGGGGTGTAGCTTTAGCCACCTGCAGGCGACCGTCTCACCCCGAAGTGACACAAACAGGGATGAGCGGGATACACGTGTTGAATGAAACAGTTTATCATGGCAAGATCAATGTATGAAATGATATCACCCAGATGTACGGATGTACTTCATATATTATAGCGGTATTCTAGTTCGAACACGTGTAGTCAATTGTCACTCATCAGTCGGTTCTATTAGAACGACGCTGACATGAGCATGTTACGATTTGCTCTACCGGTTTAGGGCTTGAAAGTTGCGGCGCTTGCCCCACCTTTCGAACGGCAACTCATAGCAACCTCACCCGGGTTCTGCGACCTCACACCCAGGAATGGTTGCTTTCAAAGACAAGCTTCCGTAGGAATCTCTGGACGGCTGCTTCATTTTGGGCGATATTTCTACAGCTTCATATTGACCGATATTTGTTGCCCGAATGGGCCGCAAAGAAGTATGTGACAAGCTCCGGACCTGCTGCCAGCTGGTAGCCCCCGAGTCGTTGTGTGGGGCAATGTGAGTGGGATCCCCACGTGTGTTGCCCCTATTTGGTATTCAAGAAAAGACAAGCAGGACACAACACGCATTCATCCTTAAGTTTGAACGGGAAGGAAGTGAGTTTCCTCGGGGCCAATCCATGCCGGAAGTGGGAGGCCGCACATGTCAGGTTCAGTGGCCGCTTGTTGGAGTGGTGCAAGTCGGTAGGCTCCGCCAGCCGCTTGTCATGTGCTGACCGAAGCACGCACACAGACACTCACTCCCTTACGCACGCGCACAACAAACGCATGAGACACTGCAAGTCTTGCCATGGGGCCACAGAGGTCTAGTTTGTAGCAAAAAGCCCTTTGCATGACTTGATGACCCGGCCAGATTCATTTAAACCTGTGTGATGGGCAGACCAGGTATATGATGATGCTTGACGAGTTTCTTGTCATTGAGACGCTAGCTGCCCACAATCATGATGTATGGAAAAGCGTTTAAAGGGATAGGACAACTCAAAGAAGTTGGTGGACAAGAATCCAGCCATCCATTCTGATGTCCACCCAAAGGTGCATGTCCAATTCATGCCCATATCTTCCCTGGTAAAATTCTGGTGGCAAGATCGATTCACTCGCCCAGATCGAGTGGTGCGACTTGGCTGTGAAGGCACGGGTGCAGAATAGGGCGGAACTCGGAACTCCAGCCAGCCTCTTGTGCGAGAAAACGGCTAGGGCTTGTTTTGAGTTTGAGGCCAAATACTTGACTGCTATTGGGTTGGATCTTTAGACTTCAACTTTTGGGAAATCAAGGGCCACTAAACTCACAAAAAAAGTTAAACTTTTTGCCAGGGGGGTCCGCAGCAACAAAGAATAGTTTTGTAACGTGAGTGGAGGCCACGCACATCTGAAGCGGACCAAATAAAGCAGGCCCGTCCTTTTCAAAGGTTTCATTTGGTCGATCGATGGACTCCTTTGGCCTTCCATTTTTTGGGTTTGCCAAAGGGCACTCGAAGTAAGTGCAGCACACCTCAAGAATCCGGAAGCAGATTTTGGGGGGATTGTTCCCCGGTTATTTCAGGAACCCGACCTGGTGGTTTGAAAGGGACAATCCTGGCAGATGTTCTCAACTTCGTCTTTTTGCGTGAATTTAAGGGCCCAAACTGGTTGACATCAAACAATGCGGTGGGGATTCAGGTAACCACGTCACCAACCACTTTGGAGTCGTGGTTCCAACTCTTGAATATCATAGCTTCATCTTTTTGCTGACTGAGCCCTAGTTGGTCCATGAGTCAATCCTCGCAGGTCGCGTGGACTCTCCATGGGTTTCTTTTGAGCAAAGTCTTTTTTGGGGTCAAACAACAACAAAAACATTGGGCGACCGTGTCGGAGTGTTGAAACAAAAATTGGAAGGGGTCGTCGCGTACCCGAGGACCCGACACAAAGTCAGGGGCATGGGTGTCATTTTTGGTGGTGTTGGTCGAAAAACAGATGGCCCTGGTTTGCCTGGTGGTTTCATCATCTACCAGGGCCACCTATTTGCCTTCCAAATGACAGGTATGGTCAGGGGTTGTAAAGCAAATTCGGCACCGATTCCTCTAGGCCTTCAAGGCGCTTGGATTCGCTGGCGCCATTGGCCGCGTCAAAAGATGGCAGGTACGGAGATCAACAAGCTGACTGGAATTTTCGGTCGCTGCCTCATGACCAACTGGCCGTCGTCTTTAGTTCCACTTGATTTGCAATCGCTTGGGTCGACCTGATGGCCCTCGTTTCCAGGGGTTCTCAGAAAATCGTCCAGTACCCAGGGAAGCGCAGTATTTGCTGAAAGGAACGCTAGGTGTTTGTCTTGATTTCCTCCAAAACAACTTGCCAGACTGCACACCTTGTCTTGTCAAACATCCAAAGAGCGACCGAATTGACACTGGGGTTTAGCAACGCAAACACTGATTCCCCTTCAAATTCAACACAACCCTCCGTTGAATGAGGCAACCCCAACATGGGCTTCGGCCCTCTTGAATTAGCCCCAAGGGTACCATCTCCAAATTGACAGAAGGGCATTTGGCCTCTGAGTCCTTTGTTCTAGAAAACGGTATGGATGCGCTTTTTGCGGAGTATCACCTGCTCTTCCCCCTCTTGGTCCTTTAGAAATACTGTGGATGGACAAAATCCTGCACCAAATTGAAACCATAGAAGACCATTGTTCTTGTTTTTTGTATTTACAGGGGAATCATTGTTCCCGGATTTCTCAGGTGGTGCAGTACTCTTTTTCAACATGCAGGGGTGGATTCACGGATTCGTCCCCTCACCCGTTTTCTCGCGAGGCTGGCTGGACTTTGCGGCGGTGATCGTCTTCCTCGTCTATTTGCTCTGGGCGCGATTTCTGCAGATCCCCAGGTCGATTTCGGGGCTGGGAGGGTCGGGGGTTTGGGGGGTTCCTTTCGACAAGGCCAGATCTCAGGTTCTTGATTGGTGGTTTGCATTGGCGGTTTGGGGATTTGAACCCTTGGAATTCTTGGTTCTTGTAGAGGGTCAAAGCTGGAATCCACCCCCGAACCACCAAACCACTAATCCAAGCCACCAGTCAGTGGAAAGCTGAAGATCTATCACGCTTGAAGAAAGCTTTGGGTGGACTGCATCACTCGGGCCAAGTTGTTTGGGCTGCCTTTCGGCTGGGTGTGCTTTCCTAGGACCCGCCTTGTTGCTGTTTCGTGTTCCCCTCTGGGCTTGGGTCGTGCAACTGGCATGCGTCGATCCTCCGAGCGAATCCAGCGATGTGAAAGTGAGCCGTTCTTCAGCCCAAACAGGAGGCCTGTCTCAAAAATGCGCCCCCTTTCCCCGTCGAAGCAGAACCCAAAGGAGGTGGCCAGTTTGACGCTGTGCATTTGGGGCGCAACACAGGATGCTGAACCTTCAAAAAATCCAACTTCAAAATGGGTTATTGCCTCAAAATTCTGGGATGCATGTCCTTTTCTTGCGGGACATTTGAGGCTTGGTCCAGGAAACCGGGTTCCCCAAAGCAAGAGCCTTTGTTTTTGCGTTTGCTTTTTCCATGCCAAAACAGAACCCAAGTTTCCGAATTCCCCGTCAGGTGTGCCATGGCGGATGACCTGGAGCAAGTGACGCCCCTGCCTTGGGCTATCAAGGCTTCCCCCAACAAAAAAGGTCCGCGTGCCAAAACGCTAAGCGGCGGCGGAAGGGGGGGGGAGCTGTGCCTTGGAGTCGCTTGAATTTTCACCAGTAAATCCTGCCAGGGTTCTCACTAGTCTCACTCCCCATTCCCAATGCGCTGGGTTGGAGGGGGAGGTGAAAAGAACCTTGAGAGCGGGGTTCGCCGGGAGCATTGTGGAAGTGGTCCTGGCGCACTGTGCCTAGTCCAACTTCCTTTCCAACCAGTCTCACTTCTTTATTTGGGTATACTCCATTTTATCTTTGGTTCAGTCCATTACCACTATCCTTTGTGTGCTTTTTGGATTGCACGGTCCAATCCAACGGGGCTATTGACAGCCCTAGTTTCCTCTTTTGCGTTTGCCAGGCCCCGCGATTACTCCGTGGTCATCGAGGGCCTGCAGCATCCCTGGAGCCGGTCGCGTTCTACCGGAAATTCTCGAGAGCCTCACGGCTCGCGTCTTTCTGTTTGGCACGTTGGTTCTTCGGTGGTGTTCTTGCTTCTGCTTCGTAGCTGCATACTCTTTTTCTATAGTGAGGGGGCGAGACCCTGAGCACCCCCAAGCTTGGGTTCCTGAAGCATGGTCGATGTGAGCCCTGTTTCTGTTATGTCAAGAGAATCCAGTTGGAGTGGCAGAATGAGCATGTAATTATATATATATATGCATGGAATCCTCACTTTGGTATCACTAACACGGTTCTTTTCCGCAAAGGAACAACAAATCCCCTCGGTTTTAGGGCAAAATGGAGCTGCTGCTTCCTTTCATCGCCTCTTGGCATCGAGGCCAGCCAAGGTCGAGAATCATAAAGACTATGAGAGGCCGGGCAGCTGAGTCTCTGAGCAGTCCTAGACGGCCGGGCAATTTGGGTGTGGCTTGAAATTACAGAAGTATGGTTGCGCAGGTTTTGGTAGTCGGTTCCATTTGCCAAGGTGCCATTTTGGTACATAATCCCTTCCCCCTAATAATAAACGACTCCCTCCCTAATAAAAAAAATACCCGGCCTGCAAAACATTTTTTATTATTAGGGGTCCCCTGGTTCTGGAGGGCAGGTTTTGGAGGTACTTCTTGTTCTGTGTAGGCTTGTTTGCAACTGTGGTCCCCCTGTTCCGTTCCGTAAAATCGCTTCAAACGCACATTTCTGAGTAAGGAATTTAAGTAGCGGGAGTTGAGGTCACGTTTTGTTGTTTTTGGTTGTGGGTTTTGGGTAAACGTGTTCCCGGAGCTCTGGCTTGAAAGTCGCAACGTTGTAGTACAGCCGTGTAAAGGAAACGTGCTCCCGGAGCTCAGGCTCGAAAGTCGCAACTTTGTAGTACAGCCGTAGTAAAGGAAACGTGCTCCCGGAGCTCTGGCTCGAAAGTCGCAACTTTGTAGTACAGCCGTAGTAAAGGAAACGTGCTCCCGGAGCTCTGGCTCGAAAGTCGCAACTTTGTAGTACAGCCGTAGTAAAGGAAACGTGCTCCCGGAGCTCTGGCCTGAAAGTCGCAACTTTGTAGTACAGCCGTAGTAATGAAGGAAACGTGCCCCCGGGGTCCCCCTAATGGGGCTGGATTTGAGTACGGGCAGGAAAATATCTACTTTAGAATTGGTTTAGTATTGGCTATTCTAAAAGTAGTATTCCCGGATTTGGGACTTCCGAAACAAATATTTATTATTAGGGAGACCTTTATTAATAGGGGGAAGTGATTATTCTCGAGCCACAGTCATTTGAGGTGGATTTGACCTTGTTCGCGTTTCCAGCGTTCCAACTTGATTTGCCCTTGAATAGACACTTTACACATCCCTCTGGTCAGTGTGGCAAGCTTTATCAGGGAGAGCCAGACATCTCAGGAAATGTGGTAACGACCGGAAGCCCGAGTCCCTTGCAAGGAATTCTTTGAAAGTAAATTGTATGTGGAGACACTTGGTGCTTTCTTTTTGCCCTTCCTTTGTAACAGAAAACCTGGGCGTCGTTTCTTCGCTTTGCACTGGCCAGGGCCAAATAGTTGCTTATTCTGACTGTCTAGTGGCATCAAAATCCGACACTTATATGGGGTTGTCTCAAAATTGGGGAGCCCCCCCAAAGAAAAGTGATTTCCTTTTGGTTTCCCTTTCAAACCAACCAAACACGCGGGTACCCCCAAAGAAGACAGACCCATATTTTTCCCTTCCAATTCGCTTTGGGAAGTCGATTTCTTACCTTACTGGCGCCCTTGAGCCGATTCTTTTCGTGTTGGCCCGGCCAGCGCGTGTTAGGAACCTCTGAACCAAAGGAAGCCAACGACCTATCTCGACTTGTGGGGTCCATGGTATGGGGGCTGAAATCTTGAAGTTTCTGGTGGAGCGAATCCCAAACGCCCAACTTGGCGTCGTTTTGCGTTGGGGATGCCAGGATGATCCAACATCAGCCACTCTCGTTTGACGGGCAGTGGGCACATGCCAACCTAAAGGAAAGCCACTTGAAACACTCACAACACGGATTCTTTGACCTTCGGATAACCCGGTCCTTGTCGACACGGCAAGGCTTCTGAAGGAGCATTTGGTGGAGCGGCTGCAGTACACGCGGAGCTCGAACCCCGTTCCGAACGTCGCCTGGGTGATGTGTCGCGTCGATATTCACTTGGTGATGTGAGGGCCCATGACCCATGATGCTCTCGAGTTTGTTTTATTTTTGCCGGGAGCAAAACTGAGATTGTGCTCACTTTGTGCCGGCAAAACCGAAGGGTGGACAGAGTATGGGGAGATCCTTGTAAGACTTGCTTGGACAGAACACTTGGATTTTCCCGGCAATGGACTGCTCAGGGATGCCAACTTAGCCCAAAGAGGCAAAATGTCGGAGACCGCTCGGTGGTTGAGGATGTTACTCCGATGCTCCCTCAGCCAGCTTTAGGACACTCCGCAAATCATGGATCCAGTTTCTTTTGACAGACACGAACCTTTCACCCACACATGTCCTTTCACCAACTAGACCTCTCCCCTTGCTTTGCTCAATCTATGAGGCACACGGGGAGCTTTCTAAATGTCATCCATTGTTTGGGCTCGTTGCAGAAGGCTACTAAATGTCGTCCACCCAAAGCGACGCCACTCGGTCTTAGGTAATCCCCAAATTGGAGAACCCCAAATTTGGAACCAACATGCCTACGGTGGAGCCACTTATTTCGACCTTTTTAACTAAAGGGACTGCCAAAAGGAAACCTGGAAAGATTCATCAAACGAAAAGACCCGCCGCGGCAGATCCAGTCGGACTGCTCCAAAAGGACCAAACCAGCGACCGGCGAGCGAGAAGTTGCCCCATGCACCCGAGGCCGCAGGCATTCGCCCTGGGAGCTGCCGCCGGTGGAGGCCGTTGGACCGCAGTGTCCATTTTGTCCCTCCGGTTCAACCGATCCTCCAACGGGGGGGGGTCAAACGATGCTCGAAAAAGGGCGGGGTGCTTCGGTGCTTCGTTTGTTTTTGGAACTGCTCCTTTTTCGGAGTGTCTCTTGGTTTCACTCGTTTCCGGCTGACGGTCACATATTCGCGCTTCTTGAGGGCTTGAAACCCACCAGTCGGCACCTAGATGCTCTAAGCCCTCGCTGATTTTCATTGGGCCGCTAAGTTGGCCCCTGTACCGTGCATGACAACTGGGCAAGAAGACAAGTTGTCAACAGGTTGGAATACTCAAAAGGCGACGAACAAGCTGAAGTTGGCTGTTGGCGTCGTCATAACTGCCTGAATATGCATATACGGAAAGGTTTTGCTAGATATGCAACATAGTCCAATATGTTGTTGCTGATTGGATAGCACTTGAACGGCGGAGACTTGTTGCCATTTCTGCCCAAGCTTGCTGTGAATGCGCTGCGGTGGTTGAGCTGCTTCTATTAACTTCTAACCCCCTACACCCTTACCCTACAATGCTACAACCCCCAAGCCCCCCACGACCCCATAGCCAGAAAAAGTGAACATCTACAGCACAGCCGGACAATGCTCGTGAACATCCAGACATGGGAATTGTCTAAGAACCAGGTGGATGATTCCCTCCTTGGAACAGAGACCCCTTCAATCGGCTCATTTGGTACCCCTTTCGGGGAGCGCAAGAAAACCGGACCGAAACCTATGGGGTCGTAGCGAGACGCGAGCTGCAGGTTGAAGAGCTGACCATCGTGCGAGACTACCGAGGGAGGCGCGCGGGTTCAAAACGGTGGACCGGTTTTTGTTTGGTGGCTTCCCCAGTAAATGTGGGCAACCCCTTTCTGTTTGGTGGGTTACCCCAAAATGATCCCCCAAAACGGCGTTCTTGGACCCTTCCCTTTGTTGTTTGGTTAGCCCGTTCCAAAAATGGCCACCTGGTGGGTTTACCCACCTAAAGGGGCACAAACCCAGCAAAAGGGTTTGCAGGGTCCCGTTTTTTCTACCACTGAGCAAGTGGGTCCCAATAGTTGGAGGCAGTTGCAGTAAGAGATTTCCCCTATGTTCAAACTCCGAATTGATTTCCTAGCTGGGTTTACCAGATAGTCTGTCCCTCTAAACGGTTTCCAGTGGTGAAATGTTCGATGTTCTTTCTCTTGCCTTGGGGATTCCGCCATCACCCTAGCCTTTTTGGACTTCCTCATAGATTCCATACCCACCAAAATTAAACTTTTAGCAGGGGATCTGCAAGCCGCCCAAAGCCGCCAAAAGCTACCCACCAAGCCCAAGCCGAGCCCGGGACCCGGGACCCACGCCGATGTCCGAGAGGCTACACGAGCTCAAGGATCGCGCACACCTGGAGCAGCGCTGGAAGCCCATGGGAAGGGCAGGGACGGCAGTGTCGTAGAAACGGGCGTGGCTTGTCTTTAGGATTTGGATCCCGAAGAATGGGTGCTTGTCCTTATGTTTTCCCGCAAAAAAGACGCCCAACTGGGGGGGAGCCTAAAAAGTTCTGCTTGGAAGACTGGTCTTTTTGAGAGACAACCGATCGATTGGAAAAAGCGCGGCACCTTGCAAGCAAGAAAGGAAACATAATTAAAAATGGCAACCCCAAATGGGGTTGGATTGAAGGAGATTTGCTGTTGCTCAAATGGTCTGCGTTGCGCATTCTCTTCACTCCACGCTGCTTGTGGCTTGATGTCCTTTTGGATCGGTTTCTGATGATGTGAACGCCTTTGTCACCTTCGCTGCAGGCAAAAGAAAACAAGCAGCCCCAAAAATGATGCACCCACCCATCACCTACCCGATATTCAACCTTTGTGTGGTTGATCTCCCCATGAAAGACCCGATAATTGGCCCATCGCTTTTAGAGGTTGCGAAAGTCAGAAATCGGGGTTGTGTCCCTTGAACCTGCCACTTGGTTAAAATCTCTCAATCTGCGCAATGCCTGCGAGCAGGTGGAAACAACATTTCATTTGTCTCTGTGTCCTTTCGTTGAGCGTTGAGCTGGCTCTTAGCTTGGCCAAAACCATTTTGGAGACGACTGGACTGCACGGATTCCTGGCAGCGCATACTCCGAGTCCTGCAAGGGCCAAGATGCTGAGCGAAATAGGAAAGTCCAAACACAAGGCGACTCACTTCTGCAAGTGTCCAGTGTGATTCTGGAAGAGCCCAATATTTTTCCGCCACCTGGCCTGCATTTCGGAACCATGAACCAACACTTAAGGGGCATGCATGGTCATGCAACGGTTGGAACAAATGATCGGTGGTTCCCTTGGGCAAACTAGCCGCATCATTTGCAGAATATGTCTGGCCAGATGGGAGCGTTGGCAGGAAATCGG